ATCCATCTATCCATCTATCACCTACCATCTAGATCCATCTATCTAGTCTGTCTGTCTGTCTAGCTAGGTAGCTATCCCATTAACCCATCCATCATCCATCATCCATTTTCTTTCTTTCTTTCTTTCTTTCTTTCTTTCTTTCTTTCTTTCTTTTTTCTACCTACCTACCTACTTACCTACCTACCTACCTACCTACCTACCTATGTATTATCTATATCTATCTATCTATTTATCTATCTCTATTATCTATCTCTATCTCTATCTATCTTATCTATCTTATCTATCTTATCTACCTACCTATTATATCTATCTATCTATCTATCTATCTATCTATCTATCTATCTATCCTCTCTATCAAGCATTATTTATCTATCCATCCATCCATCCATCCATCACTGCTCTCGCTATCATTTACAGTATCTGTCAATCATGTCCATCCATCCATCTATCCAGTTAGAGTGGGAGCAAAGCCAAGCTAAGAGAGAGGTTGTTGGGTACATGATGGCTGCATGAGGCATCCAGGTACTACAACATCCCAAACTGGTTACTGTTTCCTCCATAGCCCTCCCACCCCTCTTTTTAGCTCTTACGAATCCCAGATGGAACCTGAGCAAGCTACATTAACAGCATTTAAGGTTAAACTTCTGAATGAACCACCCTGGAGGTTTTGAGCAGCTCACACACCTTATGAATTTGGGTTGCTGCTTCCTACAGTGGGGTACCTTCAGTTGTGGAGGTTGCGGGATGCCCTGGTTGAGGGAGCCTCTTCTGCTGCCTCTGGACAGGTAGTGACAGGTCCCAGAGTCTATCTGACAGAGAGCAACTCCCCCAGTTAAACCTGCCTGCCTGCCACATGTAGCAGGAATGGGAGACCAGAAGGAGCAAAAGAAGGGAGCAAAACTCATCTATGTACTCCAATTATGGAGAAGGAAGGCATTTTAAGAAGGATTGGGTCAAAGCTAATGGCCAGGTTTACCAAATCAGTTCATCTGAGGAATGAACGTCCAATAATAACTTTCAAACCCCCAATAGATGCTGCACATCCTTCACCCAATGTGGGGGTTGTCACTATTGGATTCTGAAGAGTAGCCAATGTCAGGGTTCCAAGTAACATACCCACAGCAAACAAAACTCCGAGGCAGGTAGATTCCTCACAGAGTAGTTTTATTGGATATGGCATATTGGCACAGGCTGGTGAAAACCGACTCTGAATGGTCCAATCCAAAAGTCACATGGTCCAATCCAAAAGTCACACGGTCCAATCAAGGTGCTGTCTGGTTGCCTGGTGACATCACTCCTCCTTCCTCTGACCAGGTGTGAGAATGTCCTTGGTTCCCAAGAAAAAGTATTTTATTTTGGCTACAAAACCCCAGCTATCTCTAATCCCCCCTCCCTGACCCTCAGCTCCAGTGTGGCAACACTGAAGCTCCAAGATGGCTTCGGTCAGCTCAGGTTCAGGGTTGACAGCCCCATTCCACCAGAGATCAAGAGGGAGGCCGCCCTGTTGATCTCTGTTGAATTGTTGAATGTGCACAAACCATCTTTCCCTTGGAAAAGGCCATGCCCAGTGAAGTACAGCTTGTTGCCTTACGTATTCCCCTCTTCCACTGCACTCTGAACCAGCTCCTTCTGATCTCGAGATAGTGGTAGTAGCCCCATTGTGGCTGCTCCTCAGTTTGAAACAGTCAGAATGAGGGGAAATGCTCCTCAGATCAGGGGTGAAATTCAGCCGGTTCTATCTGGATCGCGCGATCCGGTAGGGCCAACTGCACGAAGCCCCGCCCACCCGTGTGACGTCCCTTTTTTGCGATGATTTTCAGCCTCTGTGCATGCGCAGAAGGCTTTGCACATGTGCAGACAACGGCAAACGCACATTTACGAACCGGTAGGGAAGGCAAGTGAATTTCACCCCTGATAGAGATGATGGTAAGCGTAGACTTAGTAGTAGATGCAGGCGAAGGGAGATACATGTAGTCCTTGACTTGCAACCTCAATTGAGCCCCAAATTTCTATTTTTAAGTTGTTAAATGAATTTGGCTCCATTTTACGAACTCTCTTGCCACAGTTGTTAAGTGAATCATTTCAGTTCTTAAGTGAGTAATATGGTTGTTAAGTGAATCTGGCTTCCCCATTAACTTTGCTGGTCAGAAGGTCACAAAAGGTGATTGCATGACCCAGAGACACTGCAACCGTCATAAATACATGTCAGTTGACAGGAGTCTGAATTTTGATCATGTAACCAATGGGGCTGCTGCAACAGTCTTAACTGTGAAAAACGGTCATAAGCCACTTTTTTCAGCGTTGTTTGTTTAGAGTCCCCTCTGGGGCCAAATTGCCACACAGAATGACTTGCTGGTAACAGATAACATATTTAACAGATTATATCAGAGTTGGAAGGGGCCTTGTAGATCATCTAGTCCAACACCCACCCCACCCCGCCCAAGCAGGAGACCCTAGACCCATGATGGCGAACCTATGGCACACGTGCCACATGTGGCACGTGGAGCCATATATGTGGGCACACGAGCGTTGCCCTAGCTCAGCTCCAGCGCTCATGCGTGTGCTGGCCACCTGATTTTCGGGCCTTCCGGGCCCATCAGAAGTTGGGAAACAGACCATTTCTGGCCTCCGGAGGGCCTCCAGGGTGGTGGGGAAGGCCGTTATCGCCCTCCCCATGCTCCTAGAAAGCCTCTGGAGCCTGGGGAGGGCAAAAATGGGCCTACCAGGCCCACCATGCCATCACATGCCAAAAGCAGGGGAAGCAGGGGGGGGGGGTCACACATGCATGCGCGGGGGGTGGGGCGCATTGAATTATGGGTGTGGGCACGAACGCGCACAACCCCCCCACGCGACCCCCATTTTTGGCACGCGACGGCAAAAAGGTTAGTCTTCACTGCCCTAGACCATTTCTGACCGATGGCAGTCCAGTCTCTTCTTGAAAGCTGCCAGTGATGAAGCACCCACAACTTCTGAAGGCAACTTCTGTTCCATGGGTTGATTGTTCTCACTGTCAGAAAATTTCTCCTTATTTCCAGGTGGAATCTCTCCTTGTTCAGTTTCCATCCATTATTCCTTGTCTGGCCTTCAGGTGCCTTGGGAAATAGCTTGACCCCCTTCCTCCTCTCTAGGGCAGCCCCTCAAATATTGAAGGTTAGAAATATCTCTGCCATTAATGTGGCCTGGTCCTGGGTAGAACGATAGAAATTTATGGTATATTTTTAAAGAGTTGAACATTTAAAAATATTAAATTAATAATTTCCCCTTTTCTACTTCCTACATTTCTGACACGAGACGAGACAAGTGCTGTTGTAACTTAGAATGGTTAAGAATTAGAATTAAATGAATGGTTTTAAGTCGAGGATTGCCTGTATGATCCAGAACAACCGTAGAGTTTTTGTTCCAAGCAAGCCCTGCTTTGCAAATTCTGTTGGCTCTGGTCTTTCTTCTGGGGTCATTTTTTTTCATCTCCAGATGAGCACGGAGGTCAAACTTTCATTCCTTCATTTTGCCCACCTGCTCAGGTTTTTATGAAAACAATCCAATTCTTTTTTTTTTTAAACATTTTATTAATTTTAAAAGTAAAACAATGGACATTACTCAGCGTCTCTGGTTTCTAACATTTGCGCCAAATTCAGGTTAATAAGTAATATATTCCTTAATCTATATACAAATTTACATATCTCCTATTTCATTATATATCAAGTATGCAGTATTTTACTTCCTAAACAGCTATACATATATTTAGTAAACCTATATTACACTCACAAATTCAATATACCTTGATATATTGATATACATTGATACATACATTTCCAGACATTCATTATCCCTTGGAAAACAATCCAGTTCTTTTCTGCCGATGGGGATTTTGGATAGATTGGGCCCTCTGGGGTGTTCTCACTTCTTGATGCTTTGCCGGTTCTCCAGCAAATTTCATAACTGTGTCAAGAGGAACCCAAGCAGTTCATTGAATTAATTTCTTGGAGGCAGTTCCACGGGGCTCGTAGAAAAATACAGTGGTTTTTCCTGCTTTTTAAAGCACTGTGTACTTCCTTTCCCTTGTGACATCCTGCGAGTAAAAACTAATATTACTACAACGTTGAGACATTGTATTTGGCAGCGCTCGAAAGAGGTGTCATAAAAGCAATCAGGGAAAAATGGATTTCCGAGGGAAAAGGCTGTCAGGAGAACATGGGGAGCATATGTTGTGCATTCGGCGAGCGAGGCCGTCCGCACCCCGACGGAATGGAAAGCAAGTGAGAATCCTTCCTAAGTTCTCGTGAAGTCCACCACATGAAAAGGAAATAAGGCGTACGTGCTTTGAAATAAATGATCAGAAACACAATTTGGGGATACATTGCAAAAAAAAAAAAAAATCACCCTTGAAAATAGGATTTGTTCAACTGAACGAATTTCACTCTTCCCTTATGCGCTGGTCTGTTTCCATTACATGCAGCAAGGAATGCTGAACAGTTTTCTTGCATTTGGAATCTGTTGTTTAAAGTCTTAAAAGTCTGATCCTTGGGTCTCAAAGCTACTTTTTCCAAAGGGAATTGGGCTGACTTTTTTTTTCCCCTTAAGGAAGAAGATGTTTTGCTTCTTATCCGAGAAGCTTCATTGATTCTGGCAGGATGGTGGGGGTGATGGAAGGATTAATTAGCCTCTGATGATCGTGTGGCACAGCTGGGCATTGGAGGGGGGGAGAGCAGGGATTTTGGCTACTGGTTCTCTGAACCATCTGCCACCATTGATACTGGATCGGGCAATCCAGTCCGAACCGGGAACATTTCACCCCTGGTCTGGAGGCTGATTACAGTTGACCATTTAAGACGCATCTTCCCCAATTCTGCCCTTCCCCAAATGGTTGGTCTGGTACCCTGGAATTCCCAAACACTAAGCATATCTGATTCAGACAGGTGTGTTTTCCTAGAACTTTTGTTTCTTAATCCTTCTGACTCTTCCTCATTTGTTGAGCTATACCTGCAATTATCTCGTTGCAGCTTCCAATGAACATCTTTTGGATCATGGTTCTTCCTTCTGCCTATCCATGAAGACGCTGAATTTGGCCAATCCGTAGCTACGAGGGATTCAGAGCATACCGAAGGTGAGAGAGCTGAAATTCAAGTTTGATTCAACTTTAGTTCTTTCTTTAGTTGGATGAAATCTCTCTGGTATTAAATAGGGGTTACTATAGAAAATTAAGGAATATTGATTTCTTCCTTGATGTGTTACCAAGCGAAGGGAAATATTGGTTCTGCTGTTCTGTTTAAGGTTAATATGAATGCTAATCAGTGGTGAAATCTAAATTTTTTTATTACTGGTTCTGCAAGTGTGGCTTGGTGGGCGTGGCTTGGTAGGCATGGCAGGGGAAGGATACTGCAAAATCCCCATTTCCTCCCCACTCCTGGGGGAAGGATATTGCAAAATCTCCATTCCCACCCCACTCCAGGGGATGGATACTGCAAAATCCCCATTCCTTCCCCACTCCTGGGGGAAGGATATTGCAAAATCTCCATTCCCACCCCACTCTGGGGCCAGCCAGAGGTGGCATTTGCCGGTTATCTGAACTACTCAAAATTTCCTCTACCGGTTCTCCAGAACCTGTCAGAACCTGCTGGATTTCACCCCTGATGCCAATTGAGTGATATTTCTGTGAATGCCAGAAATTCTGTCAGAACCTGCTGGATTTCTCCCCTGATGCTAATTGAGTGATATTTCTGTGAATGCCAGTTTACATTTGAAAGGAAGTGACTTATGGGTTACATTTATGGGCTGACAAGATTGTCAATCCCCTGAGTACAGGTAGTCCTCAATTTACAACCATAATTGAGCCCAAAATTTCTGTTTCCAAGCAAGGCAGTTATTAAGTGAGTTTGCCCCATTTTACAACCTTTATTGCCACTGTTGTTAAGTGAATCACTGCAGTTATTCAATTAGTACATGGTTGCTAAGTCTCCTTGACTTTGCTTGTCAAAAGGTCATAAAAAGGGGATTGTATGACTTTGGGACACTGCAACCGTCATAAATATGAGTCAGGTGCCAAGCGTCTGAATTTTGATCATGTGACCAGGGGGATGCGGCAACAGTTGAAGTGTAAAAACATTTATAAGTCACTTTTTTCAATGCCATTGTAACTTTGAAGATGTAATAAAACAGTGTTTCTCAACCTTGGTAGCTTGAAGATGGGTGGACTTCAACTTCCAAGGTTGAGAAACACTGCAATAAAAGAATTGTTGTAAGTCAAGCATTCGCTGTAACTGAAGACATAAGTTTCTCTTCCTATTGTTCAAACACAACTCTTTTAGCAGTCAATAGGGTGTGGAGAATAGGTTTCCATTGTTCTGATGTTAATTTCCATAGAATAAGTATATAGTTCTAAAGAATACGGATGTCCAGAAATATTCCACTTTCTCTCAAACTTCAAAGCTTGTCTCTGGATGACTATATGCTAGTATTGGTCCCTTGGCAGCAATGAAGAATTGGCTTGCCTATGGGGCTGCTTCTTTCCAACTTCTTAAGGTAGCTTAGAGTCCTCGGACTTCTGCTTGGCTTCCCATCCTTATAGTAGCCAAGTTCATCCTTGTTTAGTTTCAGCTTTTCGAAGTCAGGCAAGCTTGATCTGGTCCAGCCTACTAACTGGAGCCAAGAATCATAATAGATTCCTAAAATTAATTTAATTTTAATTCTGTGTAAATGGAAGTAAAAGAGTTGAAATTTAATTAATTTTAAATGCATTTTAAATCAAATTTAGGTTTTGTCTTCTCATTGTCTACTTTGTTGCTTCCATCGTTTCGTTTCATTTCATTTCATTTCATTTCATTTCATTTCATTTCATTTCATTTTATTATTTATAACGGTTTCTGCATCTCATTTATGACCCACTTTCATAAAGCTGGCATAGTTAAATAGCTTATGTTCCAATTATCGTTTGTTACTTGATGGTATGAAAACGCTAGTGGCTTCCTTGGGGCCTCCAGTCCACCAGCAATGATGGCCTGCGCTAGCTGGACCTTCAGCAAAAAAATATTATGGGATGCAGGTTTCACATCAGGAATCAGCGCAAGGACAAAATCATAGCAGAGATTTCAACTTCTCAAGATGCTCAGCAGCAGACCTCTGAGTACAGGCAGTCCTCACTTAAACGACAACGGTTGAGCCCAAAATTTCCTTTGCTAAGCAAAATGGTTATTAAGTGAATTTTACCCCATTTTATGACCTCCCTTGCTAAGGTTGTTCAGTGGATCACTGCAGTTGTTAAGTTAGTCACATGGTTGTTAAGAGAATCTGGCTTCCCCATTGACTGTCAGAATCTCGCAAAAGATAATCATGTGTCCCAGGACACTGCAGTGGTCATAAATACATGTCTGGAATGTGTGCGTGCCAGAAGCCAAAAAAGCAGCTGGCGATGCCGCACATGCCCACAGAGGCCCTATAGCCGTGATGGTGAACCTATGGCACGTGTGCCACAGGTGGCACCCGTAGCCATATCAGTGGGCACACGAGCTCAGCTCATGCGCACTGCCCAGCTGATTTTTGGGCCTTCTGGGCCCACCAGAAGTAGGGAAACAGGCTGTTTCCTGCCTCCGGAATGCCTAGGGGGTGGTGGGGAAGGCCCGTTTTTCTCTCTCGCCACTCTAGGAGTCTCTGGAGGCTGGGGACAGCAAAATGTCACTTCCTGTCCAACCGGAAGTTGGGAAATGGGCCGTTTCTGGCCACCGGAGGGCCTCCGGGGAGATGGGGAAGGCTGTTTTCACCCTCCCCAGACTCATAGAGAGGCTCTGGAGCCAGATAAGAGAGAAAAATGGGCCCACCGGGCCATCGCATGCCAGGAGCGGGGGGGGGGGCATGCATGCACGGGGTGCATAGAGTTATGGGTGTGGGCACACACGTGCGTTACCCCACCCCCCCTCCTGGCATGCGATGGCAAAAGGGTTAGCCATCACTGCCCTATAGCATTCCAGACAAATGGCTGTCCAATTTCTTTTTGAAAACCTCCAGTGTTGGAGCGCCCACAACTTCTGAAGGAAAATTGTTCCACTGATTAATTGGTCTCACTGTCTAAGGAGAAATTTCTCCTTAGTTTTAAGTTAGATAAACTTCCACCCCTTGCAATGTTTTGTCCTGTAAAGCGCCATCTGTGCATGACCTGGGACCTCAAAAACTGTTACCAAATCAAAAAATGTAATGTTTCACAGAGGAAAGCTACTAAATATGATGGGTGCTGGTAGTTGTGATCATATGAATTAATTAAAATTGTTCAAACCTTGTAAGTTGATATGGCCTATAGGCTAATCAAATCATAATAATAATACCAATACCAATAATTTATTTATTTATTTATTTAAATTTTTTTATACCGCCCTTCTCCTGCGGTGAACAGCCAAGAATAAAAACATCAAATACAAAGTTTAATTTTTTTAAAAAGAATTAAACAAATTTTTGGCCCAATAAATTTAAAACACCCCAACTAAAATCAATTTACAGTTAAAAATATCTAAAAATATCTAAGGGGGATTATGCCAGCCCAGCTTGATGAAATAAAAAAGTTTTAAGGGCACGGCGAAAAGCACAGAGATCTGGTATCCTATGTATCTCCGGGGGCAGGTCGTTCCAGAGGGCAGGTGCTGCCACAGAGAAGGCTCTCCCGCTGGGGGTCGCCAGCCGACATTGTCTGGCCGACGGCACCCTGTACACACCCTGTGGGAGCGTACTGGCCAGTCGGAGGCTATCAGTGGCAGAAGGCGGTCCCGTAAGTAGCCAGGCCCTAAGCCATGGAGCTCTTTAAAGGTGGTAACCAACACTTTGAAGCGCACCCGTAAGACCACCGGAAGCCAATGCAGCTCGCGCAGGAGAGGTGTCACATGGGAGCGTCCCATCACTGTCATAATCCCCCGCACGGCTGCATTCTGCACCAGTTGGAGCTTCCGGGTGCTCCTCAAGGGGAGCCCCATGTAGAGAGCATTACAGTAGTCCAGGCGGGAAGTGACGAGTGCCTGAGTGACCGTGCGTAAGGAGTTCCGATCCAGAAAGGGATGCAACTGGCGAATCAGGCGAACCTGATAAAAAGCCCTCCTGGCCACAGCCGTCATATGCTCTTCTAAAGACAGCCGTGTGTCCAGGAGGACGCCCAAGTTGCGAGCCCTCTCCGTGGGCACCAGCTGGCTATATCGGGATGCCGGAAGCCACAGCCACTCGGTCTTGGAAGGGTTGAGTCAGAGCCTGTTTCTCCCCATCCAATGATGATGATCATGATGATGATGTGATACCCATTGTCATCGGGGCACTTGATACCATGTCCAAGAATTTTACAAAACACTTCAAGAAATTGCAGCTTCCTGCAATAACACCAGCGGAATTGCAAAAAACTGCACTACTTGGAACATCCTACATCTTAAGAAGGTACTTGGTCAATACCTAGGAGGCTGGCAGCAACCCGTATCAACCATTAGCACCAGTCAGTGGTATTTGTGATGCATTTTTGAATGTTCAGTTGACTGAGTTTCATGTTTAATGAATAAAGTAAATATAAAATTACATTAAAAGTGGAATAGAAATGAAATGTAGTTTTGGTCCTGGATCAGCATACTTAACGTCAAGTCACAAAGCATCCCTGGCCGACATGAAGCTCCTAATAACTAGACAACTCAATTGGTAGAATAGTCTACAGCAAGCATGTCCGGTCTTGGCAGCTTTAAGACCTGTGGACTTAAACTCATAAAATTTCTCCTTAGTTCTAGGTTGGATCTCTCTTTAATGAGCTTCCACCCACTGCTTCTTGTCCTGTCCTCTGGTGCTTTGGAAAATAGGTTGACCCTTCTTCTCTGTGACAGCCGCTGAAGTACTGGAAGACTGTTATCATGGCCCTCCCCCCCCATACTTCTCTTCACACCAGAGACATACAAGCAACACAGACATGCAGCATTCTAGAGAGCTGTATAAACTCATTTTGTCACCTCATCTCAGGGATGTCCACAGGGTACTAGTAAAAAAAAAAAAAAAGTCAAAATGTCAGCTACAATGGTGAGATCAAAGCTTCATTTTATTTTCATGTGCAATGCACATAAAAATCAAGTGAGGCTTTGACTTCACCATTGTGGTGGCCATTTTGTCTCTTTTGACGGTATCTTGCAGACACCCTTGCCTGATTCCCTGGAGAAGGGCTCTCTTTCATGAGGAACCCACCCTCAGAGATTCTGTCAAGTCGGAACAAATTAAAAATCAAATGATAAAAGGGATGCAGAATTTCAACGAAGTAATTGCAATAGACCGGTATTTCTCAACCTGAGCAATTTTACGATGTGTGGATTTTAACTCCTAGAATTTCCTATCCAACATGTTGAGAAATATTTTAGTAGACCAATAAGATGGGCCATGGAAAAAAATCAGCGACAATGTACCATAAGAAAAAAATGGTACAAAATACTTTATAGAGATGGTATGCAGATAATCCTTGATTTATGACTGCAATTGAGACATGATGGGATGACCTCACAGCAGTGTTCCAATATTTGAGGGGCTGCCACAAAGAAGAGGGGATCAATCTGTTCTCCAAATCACCAAAAGGCAGGAGAAGAAGAAATGGAGGGAAACTAATCAAAGAAAGAAGCAACCTACAACTAAGGAGAAATTTCCTGAAGTGAGGACAATTAACCAGTGGAACAGCTTGCCACCAGAAGTTGTGGGTGCTCTTATCACAGGAGACTTTCAAAAAGAGACTGGGCAGCCATTTGTCTGAAACAGTATAGAGCCTTCTGTTTGAGCAGGGGGTTGGACTAATAATAATAAATTAGTGGACCACTAATAATTAATTAGTGGAATGGCTTACCTTCAGAAGTTATGGCTGCTCCATCACTGGAGGCTTTCAAGAAGTCACTTGTCTGGAATGATATAAGGTCTCTTCCTGCTTCAATATGCGGTTGAACTAGATAACTTCCAAGATCCCTTCCATTTCTGTTATTCTGTTACTAAGGTACAAGTTGACTGCAGCAAGAGTAAACTTAATACCACGTAGGAAGAGATACTTTGCTTACAATATCTATATATATATATAAATGAAAACCACTCACACCGTAATCATGAAATCTCCAGAATCGTAACGCCTACAAACTTGAAATTTGCCTTGTACGTTCCTCTTCTTCTAGGTGCTCACTAAGAAAGGATTTTTCGAAATGACCATCAGAGCATTAGTATTTCCTATATTATTATAACACGCTATGATGCTAATTAGTTAGATGTTCTACTCCTCCTCTCAACTTGAAAATAACTCTGGAGAGAAGAGGATAGGATAGGGGAGGCTTCTGTGGGGCAAGGCTATGAGAGGGAAAGGGAGAGGAGAGGCTGATCGTAATTACTCATTAATTTTCAAGCTTTAACTGTCAATTTATCAAGCCCCATCACATAGTTTCATAGCAAAGCACGGGTATTCAGCTAATTGAATATAAGACTAAAATTGGAGAACATTCAAATAGCAAAAGATCCAAATAGCAAAATTAACACTATATATCCGCAATACTGTAGAAATTTACCAAATTTAAGCAGGAATGGTTGCCTTATATACAACATATCACGGAGCAAAGCAGTTTAAACATTTGGAGTATGTTTTCAGTTTTTAGAACTTAAACCGAAACTAACAACAATTATGAACGTTTGATGCAAAGTTCAAATATCACTTTCAAAGTGGTTTATTTTTTTTCTTTTTGCTGTTTTTAAATATAGCATTCTTTTTTGTTTTATCTTTCTTTGTATTTCAATAATTTAGCAATAAAACATATGGATTATTAAAAATACAAGAGAAAATCTTATCCAGGGAACAGAACGAGCAAGCAATTGTAACTCTAACAGCGCAGAGACAAAATCAGCAATCTTTTAGAGCCTCGGTTAAATCAAAACGTTTTTGCCTTCTCTGACTCTTAATAAGACCTGAACCTTCAATTGATTGACTCTTGGTCATATAATAGCCATGAGATGTAACAGCTTAGCTCAGTGTTTCTTCATCTCAGCAACTTTAAGGTATGTGGACTTCAACTCCCAGAATTCCCCAGCCTGTTTGTGAGGGACCACTGTGTAAGAAGGATGCTGAGGTGATTTGCTCAGCATTGGAAGAATGAAGAAATACCACTAGATGAAGAGATAATTAAGAAGATACTGGACTGTGCAAAAATGGACAGACTTACACTGAAGACGAAACAGAAAGAAGATACATAATACTATCAAACATGGAATTTATTTTATCAATGGCTGGAAAAAAGGGGCAAAGATTAGGAATATAATTTATATTGTTAAGCAGACAACATGATGTTTATTAAGCTCTAATTAAACGTAATAGCAGTAAATTAATAAAATTTTGTTTTAAAAAAAAGGACGCTGAGGTGATTTGTTCATATAGAGAGGAGAAATAAGGTCTCTAAATCAGTGTTTCTCAACAGTGGTAGCTTTAAGATGTGTGGACTTCAACTCCCAGAATTCCCTAGCAAGCCATGGGGAATTCTGGGAGTTGAAGTCCACACATCTTAAAACAGCAGAGGATGAATTCAAAAGTAAAGATAATTGTCGATGCAGAAAGTTGTAAAATATTATATAATGTTTTTATTTATGTTTTGTAATTTTTTTATTATTTATTTATTTATTTATTTATTTATTTATTTATTTATTTATTTATTCATTCATTCAATTTGTATGCCGCCCCACTCCAAAGACTCAGGGCGGCTCACAATGCATTTTAAAATTATTATAAAAAACATTTAAGAATTAAAAACATTAAAAACATTAAAACCCATTCACACCATTCATGGCTGGATCTCGCCGGATCGCAAGAATGAGATCAGCGGCCCCAGGCCTGCCGGAAAAGCTAGGTCTTCACCACTTTTCGGAAGTCCAATAGCGTGGGGATGGTCCAGACCTTATCCCATTTGGTGTATGTGTATGTTCCTTTTTTTCCTTTTTTTCTTTTTCTTTTTCTTTTTTCTTTTTGTTTTTTGTGTTTTTCAATTATGTTTTTGGTTTTAAAAATGTAAAATATTCAATAAAATCTATTTTAAGAAAACAGCTGAGGATGAGGAACACTGGCTTAACTAATAAGACACCACCCCTACCAAAATGAAGCAGAGCCTTTTGTATCAGGAAAAAAAAAAGTGGGGGAGAAGTGTTTTATTTTAAAAACTGAGGGTGGAACTTTCCCAAAAATCATGGGGTTTGCGAATTAGTAGCTTTATTAATAGTTGATTCCTGGAGAAGAGAGGATTAAATATATTGAATATATGGGCTGAAAGGGTTTGATCATGGATCCTCCTTTCCTTAAGTATGTGTAGAATTGAAGATGAATGGAGTCGTTTTTTTTGTGCTTTTCCTGCATCCTTTCAGATGCTAAAAGAGTCATGAGCTTGAAATACAACTGGTTGATTTAATAAGAAACAGTGACCTGTTTGTCCAATGTGGTTTTTTTCCCCCCTTTATTCAGATACCGCAAAGATGGTCTTCCTTCTCTTGTGGTGGAATTTCAGAGTCTTTGTGCTCTCTCTCCTTCTGAAAAAAAGCCTCTCCTTAAACCCAGATGATCCAAATGTTTGCAGCCACTGGGAAAGGTAAGAAATGTTAACTTTATCTCCTTTTCTTTAAGTAGAGCATCAGCAAATATATACACACATACATGCATACACATATATGCATACGTACACATTCATGCACACAAATATTTGTGTGTGTATGTATATGTATATATGTGTTATGACCTCAGCTTCCTGAGTCATTAAAATACATGAGTAGTCCCAAAAACCTCTTTTATTGCAACAGCTGTGAATTACGTTCATTCACAGCTGAATCTCAAATTAGTTGCAAAAAGTCCTTCGGGATAATCACCCATCTTTATCTACCTTGACACGCTGCCAAAGACCTACTTGGCAAAGCCACACGGAGTCCAGAATCAAACAGAGATGCCGACTGGGAACAGAATTAACAACGTTGCTTTCCTGCAAAGGGCCCACATGCCTTTGCTCCTCTTTTAAGCCTTATGGGAGGAGCCAATCATCTCCAGGCCTTACTCCCGAGTCGTCCCTTTTGTTTTAACTGTTCTTGCCTTCTGGCAGCTCTGTGCATGCGCACACCAGGAACAGGCTCCTCCTGTTCCTCTGCCTCTCTGATGTCCAACTCTGGAGGCTTCGGAGTCCGTGCATCATTCCCAGATGGCCCTGGCCCCATCTCTGCCTCCGATGCAGAGCCCATGTCCCAGCCTTCCCCAGACTCTAGGACTGGCCCATGTTCCTCCCCAGCCTCCTCACTATCCGACTCTGCTGCCAGCTCCGCAGGCTGCTGGCGGACCACAACAATATGTGTATGTATGTAGTTCTCAACTTATGACCTCAATTGAAGCCAAAATTTTGGTTCTTAAGCGAGACATTTGTTATGTGAATTTTGCCCCATTTTATGACATTCCTTGACACAGTTGTTAAGTGAGTCACTGCAGTTGATAAGTTAGTAACATGGTTGTTAAGTGAATCTGGCTTCCCCATTGACTTGGCTTGTCAGAAGGTTGCAAAAGGGGATCATGTGACCCCAGGGCACTGCAATCGTCATAAATATGAGTCAGTTGCCAAGCACCTGAATTTTGATGACATCCACAGGGATGCTGCAATGGTCGTAACTGTGAAAAACAGACATAAGTCACTTGTTTCAGTGCTGTCATAACTTTGAATGGTCACTAAACAAACACATACATACAGTACAATATATGAGATAAAATATTATGTTAAGGTAAATCCATGATAACATCAGCATGATATGGCGCCATCCCTGAACTACATATTTGTGTTTATATGTATAATGTGTTTTATTAGCGTTGCATAATAATTGCATGACCTCTGTAGATGCCGTATGCTAAATAAATAATTTTTTAAGGTAAGTGTGCATCGTTTTCATATTTAAAAATAAATCTTGGTGTAGCTGTAGAATATAAAATATAATATTACAAAATGCAATCTAATTCTGTATGACCATTGAAGGCATCTCAGTCACAGTCTTCTTGATTTTGTGGGGGGAAGGCCTTGGTTCCTAGGGTGCACAGCAGGGGTGAAATGCTCCCAGTTCAGACCGGATCACCCAATCCGGTAGCCATGGCGGCGGGTGGTTCGGAGAACTGGTAGCAAAAATCCCTGCGTGCCCCCCCCACCATGCCCAGCTGAGCCGCACGATCATCAGAGGCTTTTTTTTTTTTTTTTACTTTTGAAAGCATTTTTTCTACAACCTCTTCCGCTGAAAAAAATGGTTTTAAAAGTAAAAAAAAGCCTCTGATGATCGCGCGGCTCAGCTGGGATAGTCAGAGGCTTTTCAAAGCATTTTTTTCTGCAACCTCTTGGCCGAAGTGGTGGTAAAAAAATGCTTTGAAAAGTCTCTGATGATCCCAGCTGAGTTGCCTGATTGGCAGAGGTATTTTTTAAAAAATACCTCTCTGCCATCAGGCAACTCAGCTGGGATCGTCAGAGAGGCTTTTTAAAAAATACCTCTCTGACGATCCCAGCTGAGTTACCTGATCGGCAGAGGCTTTTCAAAGCAATAGAAAAAATGCTTTGAAAAGTTACAAAAAAAAAAAAGTTGGCCCCGCCCACCCAGTCATATTACCCCCCCCAAGCCACGCCCACAGAACCAGTATTAACAAATTTTACATTTCACCCCTGGTGCACAGGTAGAGAGATCTTGCTTTTATGTGGGCCCCAATTCCCCAGCGGTGTCCTTGTATGAGGCTCTGGCCTGTGTTTGTTGTTCGATTTATTAGAATTATATACTAGCTTTCCTCAAAAGTCCAAACCAACATTTCTGTCATATAGGTAGTCTTCTATTCTCTGTACAGGTAGCCCTCAACTTAAGACCACAATTGATCCCAAAACTTCTGTTGCTGAGCAGGGCACTTGTTCAGTGAGTTTTGCCCCATTTTGTGACCTTCCTTGCCACGGTTCTTAAGTGAATCGATGCAGTTGATAAATTAGTCACCTGGTTGTTAAGTGAATCTGACTTCAGCATTGATTTTGCTTTTCGGAAGGTCGCAAAGTGGGATCACATAACCCAGGGACACTGCGACCGTCATAAATATGAGCCTGTTGCAAAGGGATGCTGCAACGGGCATAAGTGTGAAAAACGGTCATAAGTCACATTTTTCAGTGCCGTTATAACTTGGTCCCTAAATGAACTGTTGTAAGTTGAGGACAACCTGTAATTGAGCACGGAACTGTGGTCATAAGTAATGGCGGTCATTAAGCAGATGACCACATGTCTGGGCCCAATGTTATGACCTTTCTTGCGTTGCTCAGTGAGCGAACATCGCAGTTCTTAAGAGAGTACATTTTCCAGATTTTTTGGGTCAGAAACCAGAAGTAAAAGCTGGAAACTGGCCAACAACCACTGAAAATCGTGGCAGCATGATTGTGGTATGCTGCAGACGGCCTTAAATGCCATTATGTGGCCATGGGGTGGGGGAGGAGGGGCTATGGCCGTCAGAACCTTGAAAACAGGTGATACTGTAAGTAGCTCTGGGGAGGTCAGCCATAATTTCGAACAGTGACTAAGGGATCCGTTCTTTTTTTTTTTTTAATCTGATTTATATGCTGCCCTTCTCCGGAGACTCAGGGCGGCTTACAATGCGCTAAGCAATAGCCTTCATCCTTTTGTATATTTTATACAAAGTCAGCTTATTGCCCCCACAAACTGGGTCCTCATTTCACCTACCTTAGAAAGGATGGAAGGCTGAGTCAACCTTGAGTCTTGGCGAGATTCGAACCTGCAGTAATTGCAGGCAGCTGTGTTAATAACAGGGTGCATTAAACCACTGTACTATCAAGGCTCTTAAGCAAGGATCATCTGTATGGAGGGTGTTTGGAGGATGGGGTGAAACAGATCAATCGTTGTTAGCCCCCACCCCCCCAACCAACCAACCAAGGCTGGTACATGGTGATTCTCCCAAGCTGAATTCACCCCTCCCTCTTGGGAATCCATGCTGGATCTAAGCAAGATTATGTATGTATGTATGTATGCATGCACCGGGACAGTATGTATTTATATTATTATTTATAAAATAAAGAGGGAGTGATTGTCAGTATAAAAAATCTTTTGCTCAGGATGGAAGAGTGCAGTCTTGGAAAGCAGTGAAACACAATTTAGGGGTCTCCTGGACCCGTTACATCTGCTGTAATAGTAGGTAGAAGCTATGGGTAGAAAGCCTTTGCCAACTTAAATGGATGTGTCAGGCCCAGTTGTCTGTCTGTCTGTCTGTCTGTCTGTCCTCCCTCCCTCCCTTCCTTTCTTCCTTCCTTCCTCTCACCTCCTTCCCCTCCCTCCCTCCCTCCTTCCTCATCCCTCCCACCTCCTTCCCCTTCCTTCCTTCCTTCCTTCCTTCCTTCCTTCCTTCCTTCCTTCCTTATCCCTTCCATCTCCTTCCCCTTCCTTCCTTCCTTCCTTCCTTCCTTTCCTTTCCTTTCCTTTCCTTTCCTTTCCTTTCTTTTCCTTTCTTTTCCTTTCCTTTCTGTTGATCACATAACACAGAGTTTTCAAGAACAAATGAGAGTGGAAATGAAACCTGTAATTTTGTATTGTTTTGCAGTTCCGTAGCACAGTACATTTTGAGTCCAAGAATACAATATTGATTTTGTGTGAAAGAAGTCAGCAACCCGGGGATCCAATCAAGGAAAAACAAAAATTAAATACTAGAATTGATTGGCTGCCCGGGCCAAGATGACTGTGATACTTAGATGGTAATAAATCAAGCCAAAAGATTGAGTTAGGGCGAGGTCAAGAGGAGCACATGGGATCATAAAATAATAATCAAGCTGATTGGGTTTTCTATGTTAATGAAGGATACTCTAAACAGATTCTGCTTTGGTGTTTCTTGCTGGTAGCTGATGCATGGAGGTGAGAAGGTTTCCCTTGTGACCCTGAGAAATTAGGGTCTCGAAACAAAAATTTGAAGGTTACCACCCTATTTATGGTGAAATTCTGCAGGCACTCTTGGACATAAAAATGATTTCTCAGCAAGCAAGACAGATTTGTCTCAATCAGACCATTGAACCCAGGCCTTTCTGAGGAACCAAGAACATCCTTGGTGCTCTCAGAGCTTGCTTGTTTTGTGCCAAGACATTTCATTAGCCATCAGCACTGATCCTGTTACCTAGTTGGGTAATGAAACGTCTGCAAGAAAACAACGGAGCTCAGAGAGCACCAAGAAGCATCCCAGCCATGAGCTATAAATGTTCTCTTCTATTGGACCAAGAGACAATTTGATCTTCAGCATCCCAATTGCACAATTCTGGCCCAGGTTTGTTTTCCTAATGCCGGGAAGGTCAGGACCTTGATGAAAATAATCCTGAGCCTTGACTGCAGAGCATTTGATAAAAACATCCCAACATGAACTAGTATTAATTATTGTATTAAGTCCAGCCGTGTATCAACCCCTTCGTGCACTTCAGCAAGTGAGTCTATTCTTTAGCACGGCTAGTTCTTCTTAGCTCACCAGAATCAAGCTACAAGTCTACACCTCTTAGGACCTAACAAAGTTATAGCCTTAAGCTGACAGTATTTTTAGAAGGCTTGTACGTGATTTTTA